TAGTTCCGTGAAAGGGTAACTGTATGTGTCAAGAGCCAATGACGGACTCGGGTACGGAGTCGCTGCTCAAATGGCTTTTTTCTGTATTCACGTAGATAATCCAGGCTAAAACGGGTAAAACAATGGCTTTCCGTGTCCGTATAAAATAAGTGGTGAAGAAGAAAAAGACCCGCTCTGATTCGGCAGGTGTTTGAAGGCTTAAGGTTCAGTATGTCAAATTCAAGGTTTTATTATGGGCATTACTTACAAGCAGGTGCTTTTCTTGTCACATAGGGTGTTTACAAAAATTAAACTGTAATAGGCTGAATAAAATTCCATATGCTGTATTCGGTTGTGTTATGTGTGCTCATGGATGTTGAAATGTAATGTGTTTATGACTCGTCAGGTTTTACTTTGAAAGAATCAATCGTCTTGGCACAAACGACATGAGATGGTAAAGAATTCCAGGCAGTGCACAGTCTGACAGTAAAGGAATCACGTCGACAGTCCAGTCGATATTTTCGGAGTAGTAACTTGATGAGATGGAATGTGTATGGGACTTGAGCGAGACCTGACGCGAGGTATTCGTTTGCTCTCGGAACTCGTTCCAGTGCCTACCATCGAAGTTCGGTGGCGGTGGCGGGGCTCGAAACAAAGCGCACCGGTGATAGCGACTAAACCGCTACTCCACCACCACCACCCAAAGGTTGTCATACAATACACAAAATTGGGAAAGATATATGGTGGGGGTGGTGTGGTGTGTCCTCCGGAGTAATAATTTGGGGACGTTACCACCTGGCCACCACAGCCCTTTAGCGATAGTCGGCTATTTTTTGCGCTGGGACTAGCAGTGGTCAACTACCTGCGCTCTATTTTGAAAGCAATTTCCACTCACTGAGTATGGTTATGGTACTGAGCCAAATAATATTTAGATGGTGGCGGAGATTGGCCTTTGGGCTGGAAACACCCGAGTATCAGCGAATAACTTCGCTTGTTCACGGCCGCTCCTCTGGTTCGCATTTCCTAGTTTGTGAATTAACCTTCATCTCTTTTTTCCTACAGAACAGATGGCCATCATACTACGAGTGAAACGATTGCGAAAAGATGTCCCCGTGGACAGTTTCGAAACAGAACGACTGAATAAAATGTCGAAAATAGACGCAGATGAAAAATCCGCCTCAACTTTTCGTTACATTGGAAGTCAGTCGATTGAATCTAATGTCGCAGTGGAACCGGATTTGAACAAACTGGACAAATTGAATTCGCAGGGTTCATTCAAACTACTTTGGAATTCCACTTGCGGGCGGATTGTTGGTAAAGGAGTGACCAGTGTCCCATGTGCCGTAAGTGAATTTTATTCTGGTCCAATCCGTTCACATTTTACTCTTCTCGTCTGAAACTCGTGAATTCGGAACAACTTAATATGCGTCTGAGAACTGCATCACTCACCCCTTAACCACTTCACATTTGTTCTTCACGTTTAACACCTGCAATCACTGAAATTGCCTGAAAGTTACCAGGTGGCGCTTTGGTTTAGTCGATCACAGGTGTGCTTTGGACCCTATGGTCCAAGGTTCGAGCCTCGCCACCACCACCCAACTTTAATGGTAAGCAGCTGTGCTGTCGTCCGGTTCATTACCACACCTATCCTAACGGAGTCTTATGTGGTTCGTTACTCCAAGTCCCGAGGCTTAGGTTGCCGGTTAAAATCACTGAACAGCAGGTCTTCATGACTATGAGGCTTTCCCCGTCTGCTGTTCATCACACGAAAGTCTGTAATAAAAAAGTAGCCAGGTCGATGTGCCACATATTCATGCGGTAGAGGAGCGAGTGTATCCTTTTTATTACAATACAATAAAAGGGATAAAACCCTTGATCCGAAGATGTGTTGAAAGTGGGAAGGTATGCGGAAAATTCAAGCTAGAACTAGGTTGTTGATTCTGCGTTTAAAAACAAGAATGTTGTACGTTGGAGGGAAGACCGTAAGGGGAGAGTGTTCCACAGTTGTGCTGTTCTTATGAACAAAGATGATTGACAGTTAAAAATGCGACACCTGGGGATCGTCACTTGAAATGGGTGGCTAGCCGCTTGTGCGCAGGTTCTACGGGGAAGAACAAGCGGGAGACGGACAGACGCGAAAATTTCATCAGAACAAAATCCAAAGTAGTATAGATAGAACAAGGATAAAGAAGCGACTGCCAGACGGTGAGCCAGTGACTGCAAGTTGGATGTTAAGGACCCGATCAAGAAGAGAGAGAGAGAGGTGGACGAAGCTCCGGAAACAAGTAGATGAATACAAGGTGACCATGCAAGAGAAAATAAGGAAAGACCCAATAGATCGCATGATTCTGTGAAACGGGGAGTAAAATTCAAGGGAGGGGAGAAAGATGCGAGTTTAAGAGAAATGGACATAAGGGAAGTTTTACTGGCATTGAATAGAACACGGTTGCTACAGCCCCAAGCAGAGATACGACCCAGATAAGAAACTAAGGGGGAAACGATCATCATTAATGCTGGAGTTAGTGATGCGCCAAGAGGAATGGGACAGAGAAGAGTGTAGAGTAGCGTCGTCGGCCAAGGCG